AGGAAAAATGACCAGAAAAAGAGGGAAGCCAAAGAGAAAGGGACCTGAGTTCAATTGAAGTGCCAGCCTGCTCCACCCAGAGATGCACACTCTGTGAGAACCACTGGAACCTATTCCCTATGAATTCATGGCATGATGGGTGTTAAAAATAAACTAATCTGGGACCAGCAGGTGGCATGGTGGTTAAGGTGCTAGACACTCCCACATGGCGAATTGTGGTTCAAGTACTGGACCTGGTGGCTTGCTTTCTCACTTTTCCTCTCTCTCTCTCTCTCCCCGTATCTCTCTCTGGTCAAATTAAAATAAGTGGGGACCAGCAGTAAGCATAATTGCTATGTTGCTGGACTCCCATGTTGTCGACCGCGGTTCGCGTCCCAGACCTGGTGACTTAAAACTCTCTCCAGGCGCGTGTGCGTGCATGCCCAAGATCTCGAGAGGAGAATGGAGGAGAAGGGATTGCGGCGTGGCATGGCCATGCCCCCTGGGGGGTGATTTCTCACTTTCTATCTCTCTGTCTCTCTCTCTGTCTGTCTGGCAAGTGCACATTCCCTATAGCAAAAACCTCTCCAAAAAAAAAAAATAAGTAAAAAATATTAAAATAAATGAAGGAATAAATAAAATTAAATAAATAATTATTTTTTAAAAAAAATAAAAATAATCTGTGGTCTTTAAAAAGAAAAAGAAGAAGAAGAGATTGCAACATGACCATTCTCCAAGGAAGGGGCGCTTTCTCCTCTTCTCACTCTGTCAAGTACATGCACCCTCTAACAAAAAAAAGAAAGCGAGAGAATTTCTTGAATGGGCAAAAGAAATTCTCTAGAATCACGTGGGGTTGTAAACCAAGTTAATGGAGAGGAGAAACGAGGAGACTTTTCAATTAATGCTTTTGTATACTTTTTGATTTTTATAAAGCAAAAAAAATAAACTTCCCTCTTGATTATTTTCTCCCCTTCAAGTCTTGTCTTTACTTCTATCAACCCTTCCTTTATCTGAGTTAACAGTCAGTAATACTGTAAGTGTTTAGTGCCTTTCTAACTTGGGGTCAGAACTGAAATCCTTAGGGCCAGCAAGTGGCGTGGTGGTTAAGACGCTGAATACATGACCAACCACAGCTCGAGTCTCGGACCTGGTGGCTTGCTCTCTCACTTTCCTTTTCTCTGTGTGTCTGTTTTTCTCTGGTCAAATAAAAAAATAATTGAATAACTAAAATTAAATCATTCTTTAAAAAAAATTAAATCCTTTACCTACTGAATTAGTACATCTTTCAATCTAATATCTAAATCGATTTAGCAATTTAAAAAAAAAAAACCTTGCTTTCTCTCTTTCTCGCTTTCTCTCTCTCTCTCTCTTTCTTCCCTCTTTTTCTCTCTTTCCTCCCACCCCTCTTACCCAAATAAAGCTAGTAGGTAGTGTGCTTGGAAGCATTAAAGATGGTCCTCTTACTGACTTAAATAACTGTATCGTCTAAACCTCAACGCTGGTCCCAAAGACATCTGTCATCTTTCCCCTCAGGTAAATTGGAGATCGTGAATGGTGCCAAAAGGCACACCCGAGATGTTGGAATGACTTTCCCAACTCCAAGTTCTAGCGAGGCTAGGTTAGAAGAGGACAGTGATGTGACTTCTTGGACAGAAGAAAAAATTGAAGAGAAAATACTCTTTACCAGTTATCCTGGGGACAAAAAGTTAAAGAAGAACAAACAGAATTCCTGTGAAGGTGAGTCTCTAATTCCAGGTTTTGTAGCAGAAAAACTAATGAATTTTAAGTTTCTTAGACTGCCAAGAGTCTTTGTTTCTAAATGACTGCATGTCAACCCTGCTTAACAATTTTTAAAGTATCTTGACAAATTTTTAAAGTATCTAGCAATATAATTACAGAGTTGTACCTATACTTAAAACAGACTCAAGAATAACCTGGTGGGGCCAGCAGGTGGCGTGGTGGTTAAGGGCACTGGACTCCCACATGGCCAACGGCAGTTCAAGTCCTGGACCTGGTGGCTTGCTTTCTCACTCTCTCTCTCTCTCTCCATCCCTTT